TATATATATATCTCAAGATATATACACATAATTTTTTACATGTTCTGCACATTTACCGAGTGCTTAATTCCCTCCCTCGCTACTTCCAAAAACCATCTTCCCACAAAGTGATCTCCTCCGCCACCCCCTCCACCTCATCCCAATCAAATCTCTCCTCCATTCCCGGCGGCGTTATTATCAACCCCGCCGCCATTTCCACCAACATTCCCGGCATATTGAACAGAGCCTCCTCGTCCAAGAAACCGATGGAGAGCCCTGCCTCCGAACTTATCTCTTTGCTGGCCATCTCCGCGGCCTTCACGGCGGCCCGCCGAATATCCTCCGGCCGCGTGGAGCGCGTTGCGGGCAAAGTCCACGCGGAATCAGGGAAGTTCAGGACGGCGGACTTGCCGCGAAGGGCCAACGCGGCGACGTCGTGAGCACGCGCGGCCATCTCGGGGGTGGAGTAAGTGCCGAGCCATATGCGGGTTTTCTTGTGAGGTTCGCGGACCTCGCAGACCCACTTGCCGCCGTTGCGCTGGCGAACGCCGTGAAAGATGGGGTGGCGAGTGACGCGGAACTTTTTGCGGCCGGAGCGGCGCTTGGGAGGGGAAGGGTGGGGAGATGGCAGGGAGGGAGATGGGGTTCGGTTGTCGCCGGAGGTGGTGGAGAGGCTGTCGGAATCCATGGATGGGCGGTGGAGTTTGGATTATGATTTTGTATTGTGGGGGTGGGGGTTAATGTAGGGATGGCTTACGTCGCAGTGGACCGCGCAGGGGACGCGAGGGAGAAAAGATTGGAGTTTTGTCAAAATCCGGTGGGGAATTGAGCACGTGGGTAATAGATGAGCACGTGGGTAATAGATGAGAAACACGTTTTTTTGGTGCAGGTTGGATGAAGGGATGGATAAAGCGGGCACGACACTGCGCAGAGTGTGGGCCTCAGTCACTCTCTCCGCTGAGCGGCCGGCGAATTCCGGAATGGATTTTACTCTTTTTTTGCGTGGTGAATTTCCATTTGGAAGGTTGGTGAAACAGTGGATCACCTCTCGGAATAATGTATACGGTGCAACGATGCATTCCGACGATAATGTGATAACACGCCTCACATATGTCTTCTGGAGATGGTGCAACGACGCCTCTTGAAGACAAGGTGATGACGCGCGCCCGATGACAATGTAACAACACACCTTACATATGCCTTTTGAAGACGGTGCGACAAAGCGTTCTAAAGATGGTGCACTGACATACTCTGATGATGCTGTAATAATGCACCCCACATAAGGGGCAACGTAACCTTCTGAAAACTGTTTAACGTGCACATCGAATATTGTGTAACGACATACCTCAATGATGGTGTAAGAACACACATCACAAATAGTGCAATGATGATTCCTGAAAATGATGTGATGACACACCTCACATATGGTGTAATGACACCTGTCGAAGATAATGTAATCATGCATCCCGAATACGGTGCAACGACACACTTCGATGACGATATAACATCACGCCTTACGTACGATGCTATATGGGGTTAATGATTGTACTATATAAGAACAAGTTTAATGAATATTATAAGAACAAGTTTGATTTTAAAATTGCATCTCAGATATTTTTATTATAATCAAAAGATATGCTAATTAATTCAATTTGATCTCTCTCTCTCTCTCTCTCTATCTCTCTTTATATATATATATATATATATATAATTATTTATAT